CCAAACCCTAAACCCTAAACACACAGAAAGCTGTCAGGATGGCTCAGGCAGGATGCTTTCGGGGCCATACGGCTTGGGGGTCTTCGGTTTTTGTAAACGCAATCCCTAAGCCTTAGGGCCTGGGGGGGGTGGCTTCTAAATGCTACTACTATATTAGCATAATCACTATGATGACGATGATTATTGTTATTGCTATTATTGTTATTTTTCTTATTACTATTCTTGTTATTATTGTTTGATGAGTTATACTTCTTCTTACTCCCTAAACCCTAGACCCTAAACCCTAAGCCTTCTGCTCAACATTACCTTGCATCATGAAACTGGCAACCTGCATCGCCAACATCGGGTTCCGCTTGGGTATTCAACACACTTGTGGGCTCCTGCACTGCGCGATGGACCTGAGCCCCAAGCCCTGAATTAGGGTTTAGGGTTTAGGGTTTAGGGTTTAGGGTTTAGGGTTTAGGGTTTAGGGTTTAGGGTTTAGGGTTTAGGGCAAAACCGTAAACCCCTAAAACCCTAAAAACCCGAGTCCCTAAACCCCTCCCAAGCACTAGAACCCTAAACCCCTTAACCCCCAAATCCCTTAAACCCTAAGACCACTTAAACCCCAAGCCCTAAACCTCTTAAACCTTAACACCCAAAACCCTACAACCCTACAACCCTAAACCCTAAACCCCTTAAGCCCTATGCCCTAAGCCCTAGGGAAGCGTTCAGCTGAGTCAGCGTCCTGCCGGCTGGTCATCCCCTTCTCCTGTGCACATGATTCTTGGGGTTTAGGGTTTAGGGTTTAGGGTTTAGGGTTTAGGGTTTAGGGTTTAGGGTTTAGGGTTTAGGGTTTAGGGCTACTACTATTTGCTTAAGAACTGGCGATGTTCCCCCTTGTACTAACAGTCCTTAACAGAGATCATAATAGGGGGTACTACAATCCCTATGAAGGACTGTAGCATAAGGGGGAACATCCCAAACTACAATAATATGAAACGTAATAATCACCAGAGGGTTTAGGGTTTAGGGCTTCAGGAAAAAGAACAATACTACAATTTTAATAGAACTTCGTACGAGGAGCAACACTCACTAACAATAATGATTCACTATGACATAATACTAGAGTGGTAACCGTGAAAAACAAAGAACCAAAAACAGGAATAACGATATCAATGCACTTGCAAACTGCTTCAGAGCCCCTAAGCCCGAAACGACCCCAAACCCCAAACCTCAAACCCCAAACCCCTAACCTCACCCATAACCCTGTTTGCTTACAGTTCAGGGTTTAGGGTTCAAGGTTTAGGGTTTAGGGACCCCAAACCCTAACCTCACCCCTAAAACCGTAAACCCCTAAATTCGTTTGTATGCGTTGAGCTTCCGGACGCTTCTGGAGTGCCGAGGCAGGCGACGGAGTTCTTATACGAAGCCGCAGAAGCCACAGAAAAGACTGAAAAGACGTAGCTGTGTGCTTAAACCCTCAGGCCCTCAAACCCTCAAACCCTAAACCCCAAAACCCAAAACATGGATGTAGTGGTTCATCGCTATTCAGGCCCACAGAACTCGAAAACAAACTCCAAAAGCAATCCAGGGTTCTGGGGTTTCGGGTTCGAGGGTCCTAGGCCGCTAGGGTTTTGGGTGTGAAGGAATTTGGGTCTAGGGTTTAGGGTCTGGGGTTTAGGGTTTAGGGTTTAGGGCTAGGGTTTAGGGTCTGGGGTTTAGGGTTTAAGTTTGGGGTTTTAGGGTCTAGGGTTCCTTTGATCCCCTGTGCTTGTGAACGCATCGAAGCTCTGCCCGAGCAAGCTGAACGCTAAACCCGACCCCTTAAACCTTAAACCCTAAACCGTGAACTCTGAACCCTGAACCCTAAACCCTAAACCCTAAACCCTACTAGGGTTTGGGGGTGTGGGGTGACCGAGGGAGGATCAACGGACTCAAGTCTAAGCCAGCCATGCCCCTGCAGCTCCAAACGCAACCCTAAACCCTGGAGCCCTGACACCCTTCAAAACGAACCCTAAATCCTAAGCCCTAAACCCTAAACCCTGACCCCTCGACCTGAACCCAGGAAGCCGAATCGAAAGCCAACACGTGGGATTTGGGGGGGTGCAAGGGTTAAGGGTTTTTCTGGCCAATCTTCAACCTCTGCATGCCCCCTCCTCTCCACCCCTGGTTCGTAGTAGGGAATGGGGGAATTAGCTATACACAATCCCTTACGGGTATTTGTAGGGGGAAAAAGGGTACCTCATTCGCCCATTCCCCTAAACCCTAGCCCTGAACCCTAGCCCTAAACCCTAAACCCTAAACCCTAAACCCTAAACCCTAAACCCTAAACCCTAAACCCTGCCAAGAACCAGCAAGCTCCTGCACAAGGTAGTCCACAAGAAATGGCCTGGACTTCGCACAAAACGATTGGGCCGCTATCGGCAAGCTCTACACAAATCCTCAACCCGGAGCCCCCTACACCCTAGACCACTCTAAACCCTAAACACTAAACCCCCAAACGGTTTAGGGTTTAGGGTTTAGGGTTTAGGGTTTAGGGTTTAGGGTTTAGGGTTTAGGGTTTAGGGTTTAGGGTTTGTTCTTGGTCGGAAGGCTTTGGTGTCGATGATCTGGTGAAGCTCACGAAAAGCTAAAGACCCTGTGCTGCGCAAAAGTCGCGTGCTGTTGGGGTTTTCAGGCTTCAAGGGGGTTGAGGGTTTGGGGCTTAGGGTTTGGGAAGTCGTGTCTGGAATTAGGGCTTACAGTGAAGGGTTTAGAAGCATGTCCCTGGCAGGTCGAAACCCCTGACTTCTGATGCCACAGTCGCGGACAGGCCACATCATGCACAGCCTACTTGACGGTTTAGGGTTTAGGCTTAGGCTTGGGGGTTAGGGTCTGGGGTTTAGGGGTTCATGGGTACCATAAATAGGTGGAGAATCTGTAGGTACCTTGAAAACGGTTATAGGCATAGGAACCCTACTCAGAACCCTACTTATAAGTATGAACCTTCAAGTAATCTCTTTCCTTGAGGGACAAGAAAGGCTTCAGATCCCAAACCAATTTGGGGTTTAGGGTTGAGGGCAGGAACGTGCCAGTCGAGCAAGCTGAGCCAGAGTCATGACTAACCACTGCTCTCTTGCGATAGGCGTTTGTAGTCTGCATATGCATGTCTGCCTGTGTAGCCTGAATATTCTCCCCCTGTCCTACATGTGTATATATTCATACAGTACTGGGGGCAGGAGGGAGGAAAGAGAGCGGGGTCCTGAAGCCAAGGCAGCCCCTAAACCCTAAACCCTCAACCCTCAACCCTCAACCCTCAACCCTAAACCCTAAACCCTAAACCCTAAACCCTAAACCCTAAACCCCCACACCGGACATCGAGGTGTGCTGGGGCGCCCTGACTCGGAAGGCTTGAACTGCGACCAGAAGGCGAAGAGATAGAGCCTGAAGAGCCCATGCAGGTTTAGGGTTTAGGGTTTAGGGTTTAGGGTTTAGGGTTTAGGGTTTAGGGTTGAGGGTTGAGGGTTGAGGGTTGAGGGCTGAAGAGCAATGCAGGATTTACGGCTTAATAGGGTTTAGAGCTACGAAACGTTGCTGTTTTGGGGGGAACAACAAGGATTCTAGAATTGTGCAGGAGGGGAAGTAACAACAACCATGCTGGATTGATTACCAGAATAGGTTCATGCTTGGGGGAAGGATTGGCAACTCGTGGGTGGATGTTCGGGCGCGTGGTTTGCCTGGACCCCCGTGTCCACAATCCTGATTGCAACAGGGTGTTCCAGATTAGGGTTTAGGGTTTAGGGTTTAGGGTTTAGGGTTGGAGGGGTACGGTTGTTCTAAGCTATGGTCTCTTTCTTGAAAACAACACATCCCGGCTTATTAGCTAGACCCGGGAGGAACCTAGGAATGATGGTTTTAAGGGGGTTATCAGGGAACCCCAACCCTAAAAACAGGAAAAAAGGGCCTACCTCCCGGTCCTAGCTAGAGAACTGCCCATGTGAGGCGTGTGAGCTTCGTGCCAGAGCAGCCGCTCGGAAACAGGAGTCAGCGCATCGCTGCCTGCAAAGCTTGCCGGGCTGATTTTTGTCAGAGCTTGCAGGGGTTAGTTGCATGATCCAGGGGTGTAGGAGTTTAGGCACTTTGGAGAAGCACACTCTGACAGACCATGCAGTACGGCCCTTGCCCAGACCGAGACTACTAGCGCACCCCGCCAGAACACCTGCACATGCAACTCGCAAGAGCCCCTTCCACACTATCACATCCTTGTCCACGCATTCGTTGCCGACGATGGTATCCCGCAAGCCACATCTGCAGCTGCAGATTTGACGGATTTGCTTCATTGAATGGCGCTGCAACCAAAGCCACCCATCTTCAAGCGGTGCAGCTGTCGCAGGTAACCGCGTTCCCTGTCGCCAGACTGAAATGAGTCCTCACTTCGCTCATCGAAGAAAATGCCAATGTCCTCTTCGTCAACTAGCTCGGAATCCAGCGCGGCTGCGCGACAGTAGCACCTGTATCCAGCCCAATAGAAAGGCAAGAGGCACGACTCATAGAAGCCAACTCGGCTCTCACTAGCCACTCGGCTGCCGAATGACAGTCCGCTTGCTCGAGCGTCATCGATGCTCTGAGCGTCATCGATGCTCTGGGCCTGCCTGCCTGCACAGTCCTCCGTGCTCTGCTCTGACAACTGCTTTGAGGCATGGTGCTCAAAACTACGCTGCAAAGAGTCTAAGCCGCGAGCAGCGAGACCTCCCGAGGAACCGGCATTGCTGGCAGCGTCTACTCTCTCCCGCAGCCCATCGACCTCTGTCTGCAACTCTCTCCAACTCAAGCCCGCCATCTGTGCCAAAGCCTCCTTCAGCGCGAATGCGACGTGCGTGCGACCACCATCGGACGGGTTGCAGTACGCGTTGTAGAACTTCTGCGTGAAAACCAAGCCGGCCATGTCAGCGACGGGCCAGAGGGAGCAGAGCACAGCTCCTGCATGGGCATAGGCTCCAGCACATCCCGTGAGGGAGTGCTGGCTCAGGCCCTGCAGCTCATCGCTGGAACATGCAGAAATGAAGACAAGCTTCAAATTTGCGTTGACAGCAGAGAGTAGATTTTGCAACGGCACAGACCTCTCCGACAGCATCAAGCTCAGGGTCTACAGCTGCTGCAGGCTCAACGTGTCCTGCAAAATGAAATGCGCCTCGAACTGGTGCATACCGGCGTCGAAAGAACTGGCGTCGATGGATGGATCCGCCGTGCATGCCATCCTCTGCCCGTCGAGGTCTTCTCATAGTTGTTCCCAATCCAATGTGATCATCATCAAGCTCCTCAAGTGTCTCTGCAACTTCAACTGGTGTCGCTTCATCCAGGCACCTTAGCTAGGGTAGTCTATCGTGCAATGCCTACCGCAAAACAGGCATAGCAATCCAAAGTGATTGCGACACAAGGAAATATCACTCTGCCCGGGCTCCTGGGGGGGGGGGGGGGGGGAGGTCGCACAACAGGTAACAGGGAAGGGGGTCTCTTGAAACAGCTATGGCCATGTAGCGCGAAAAAGGGCAGCACATCTAAGCTAAGCACTTGACGGTGCACTCAACACCTTCAAGCTCCCGTCGCACCACTCTCGACTCAACAGCTGCAAGCGGCAGCCAGGGAAGCCCGCTCCTCGGATCGTAGCTGTGCGAAACCGATGAGACGATGCAGGTGTCACCGCCGCCGCAGCGCTCTGCATCTCCCAACTGTCGGTAGTCGCAGAGTGATGATGCGTAGGTGGTGGGCCGTTGAAACATCAGCGGGGCATCTTTCCAGAGGATAGCGCCAACAGATGCTGTGGCAAATCTTCCGGAAGCCAAGACAACAATGGACCGGCACTCTTGCAGCAGCTGGAGTAGAGGCTGGAAAAGCTCTTCTCCAAGTCTTTGCGCCATCTGTTGGAGGGCGGACCTCTTAGACTTGGGCATCACAGGAGTTCTCAGCAGTTTTGTGAACTCTTCCAGCCTTGAAAAAACTTCAGATTCCAGCGCCACACGGCCCTGGTCTTGAGGACTGGAGAAATACAGGAGCTGGGGATGCGGCTGAAGTCCGACCTTCAGAAGATCCTGCAAGATCACAGTACCACCAGCAGTCTGCTCAGCTCCTTCCTCTATAGCGCTGCTAGCAGGCGAGCTTGCAGTTGGAGCATCCTCGCAGCTCTCAAGATCGTCTGCGGATGCGCTTGGAGTTCCGGCCTCCAGCTCCTGCAACGTCCTCCGCATCCCCTTCCTTCTCCTTCTCCTCCTCCAAATGCGCCTCCTCCATCTATTTGTCCTCCTCCTCCAACTCTGCCACCTCCTTTGTCCGGGACGAGCACGGTGTCCCGTTGATCGGAGTGACGTGGATGTCCGAAACTCTCCATTGTCGAGTACCTTCAAGACGCCAGCTCGCAAGACTTCAGGATCCGCGAAGCAGAGCAGAAGCGCATGGCTGCCAGTTATTTCTTCTAAGCTGAAACACATGCCGTTCAAGAATGTGAAGCCACGGTCGGATGCGGGACAACATGTTGCAGCAGCCACTTCCAAACAGTACAGCCCCCAAACAATGTCGCCAAATTTCTCAATGCATTGGCAGAGCTTCCTCTGGGACGACATGCTGCGCTGAGTTCCTTCGCCGTTTCGAGTTTCGAGAGCTGCACTGCTGCAGAGTTCGAACCACGCAAGAGTTACAAGGCTACAGTTCCCGTGGAGGCTTGCGCAAGTTAGAGCCTGCATGTGAGCATGCTGACAAAGCAGCTGCATGCTGGCACGCTGAGTTCAAACGAGGGAGCATGCAGCGGGAGAATGCCTCTAGACTCTACAAAAAAGAAGCGCTATAGGCTGGTTTGTTGGAGCTTATATATTTGGGGTTCCTCTATCCGCCAAAAAATCTAAACCTTAGCCTTAGACGTGGTCTGACGCGTTTATGGCTAAACCAGGCCACGGCCCGTAAAATACTAAACCCCATTATAAGCCCTAAGCCCTCCGACCTTTGACCCTTGACGCCCGAGTTAGGGCTCACATTCCGAAGCTTGATCCGCATGGTTTTCGCTTTGATTGTTTTTTTGGATTTGGCATTTGTTGGGCAAGGCAAACATGTGTACGCATACATACGTAAATAAATACATAAATAAATACATAAATAAATACATAAATAAGTAAAAAATAAATAAGAAAACAAATGAAAAATCATAATATATATATATATATGTATATATGTATATGTGTATGTATGCATACCACATATATATATATGTATGTACACCATATATATATACATATGAGATGATAGATACTATTTATAAGGATGTTTAAGAGATGCATTGTACAATGTCCTGCGCTCTGCTCTTCGGGTGTATGAAGAGCTGCTTCCGCACATATCAGCAACATGAGGCTCTGAAGCCCTAAACCATGAAACCCGGAGCCCTCTCATCTAGGAGTTCCCCCTCCCTAACCTCTAAGCCCATAAACCCCAACTCCTAAACTCCTAAACTCCTAAACTCCTAAACTCCTAAACTCCTAAACTCCTAAACTCCTAAACTCCTAAACTCCTAAACTCCTGACCTCCTAACCTCCTAAACTCCTAAACTCCTAACTTACCTAACTCCTAAACTCCTAAACTCCTAAACTCCTAAACTCCTAAACTCCTAAACTCCTAAACCCCTAAGAGCCACCGGGAAGCTGTGTTGAAAAGGGAGGTGAAGGCTTGGGGGGTAAGGGAGAAGTAGGACTGAGAACGGATAGGGGCTTGGGGGTATGGCATTTGCCAAGATTGGACGCCTTGTAAAAAACCGCAAACCGCAAACCCTAAAACCACACCCTTAACCCTCAAAGCGCCCCAAACCCAAAAACCCCGAAACATCCCAAAACCGAAAGCCAGAGTTCGGGACCTCGACTCCCAAATTACTAGTTGCTTAAGACTGTATTCTTCCTTCTAAGAGCAATATAGGGATTGTTGTGGATTCTTAAACAAGTGGTCGTAAACCCTAAGCTCTCAACCCAAAACCCCAAACCCGAAACCCAAAACCCCGAAACCCAAAACCCCAAAACCCAAAATCCCCAACCCCAAACCCCAAGCCCTAAACTCTAAACCCTGAACTCAGACCCCTCTCCCGCGCGGCGTGGCTCAAGCCTTCCGGTGCATCCTCCCCCTCGCTGAGGCATCCTGGCTTGCTTGGGGTCTAGGGTTGGTTGAGGGGAATATAGGGGCCGTAATACTCAGAATGGGGGTTTTGGGTGCTAGAATAGTAGAAAACCCTCAACCCTAAGCCCTAAACCCTAGACCCCAAAAATCATGCAGGGACCACAAGGGAATAGTACGAAAAGGACTGCTTCCGGCACCTAGAGTACATCGCCCAAGCCCCCCGACCGAAAACCGCAAGACAGGGTCTAGGGTTTAGGCTTTAGGGTTTAAGGTTTAGGGTTTAGCGTTTAGGGTTTAAGGTCTAGGGTTTAGGGTTTAGGGCCGCAAACCCAATCCCTAAACCCAGCTCCCGGAACCCCTTCTGAGACCATCAGCGCTGCATTCCTGAATCCCTCAACCCGGCTGGATCCTTCACCCATGGGGCACCCTAAACCTTTAAACCCTAAACCCTAAACACGACTGTTCCTAAACTCAACGAACAGTCGAGTCGGTCCTTTAGCCCGTGGGCTGGTTCCAGAACCGGCTGAGACGACTGTTGCCCCCATGGTCTTGGAAGCTCAAGAACTATATTTCAATAACTAGGGTTTAGGGTTTAGGATTTAGGGCTTCCAAACGTTTCGGGTTGGTCACTTTAAAAAGGGAAACCAGGACCATAAAAAAGGGGTAAAGGGTACCACTGGCCTACCAAGTGGCGGAGATCGTTGGCTGTAGGAGGTGCTTGGGACGGCTTGGGGTTGGGTGTTAGGGGTCTAGGGTTAGGGGTTTAGGGTTTGGGGTTTAGGGTTTGGGGTTGTAGGGTTGTAGGGTTGGGTTATGGGGTTCTAGGGTTGTAGGGTTGCGGCTCGTGTCGCTCCACTAGAACCTTTTCAGCTGCTCAGGAGCCTGATGGCCCACTGAACTCTAAAACCCTAGAAGCCCTAATTAAACCCTTTAGGGTTTAGGGTTTAGGGAGTAAAATCTAGAGACGCCTAAAACCCAAACCCTTCAGGGGGCCCTGAAACCCTAACGCCCTAAAGCCCTCCCTCAACCCGCCCCCAAACGCTAAAACCAACAACCCCTCAACCCTACACAAATGCTAAACCCTGGACCGACCTTTCCTGGTACCATTAGCAGCTTGTCTTTTGAGCCAAGAGGCCCCCAGCGGCTTGGGAACATGCGGGGGGGGGGAGGGGGTGGGGGGGGAGGGGGGGGGGGGGGAGGGGGGGGGGGGGGGGAGGGGGGGGGGGGCAGGGGGGTTCCCATTTTTAGATGAACCCGCCTAAGTGCATGCATGCATATAGGTATATATATGTATATATATATACATATCCTAAACCCTACACCCTAAACCCTAAACCCAACACCCAAAACCTATATCATATTATATGTTCATACATGCATGCATGCATGCATGCATGCATGCATGTATCGGGTACCCAAAAAGGGGCCCCAATGGACCTCCGTTACGTGGAGGGCCATGGGTAGCTACAACTGTAGTCTGAGGTAGTTTTTAGTCCGTGTGTTAAAGCTGGCAATAGCCCGATTTGGGACCCTAGGTGCATTGGTGTGTAGGCTTCCGTGCACGGAACTTATGAGGGATCCGGCCGCGGGTGGGGGGGGGGGGGGAACCCCCTGAAGACCTACAGAACCCTCACAAAAAAACCGAAGGGACCTATGTATACTTAGGCCTCTTATGTAGGCATCTCTGGATAGGAGCAATGTAGCAGCTTTGGGGCTCCCAAATATCTACTGCATAAGCACACATGGACCCTCAAGAGGGAGTCTGATTGTGCGCTGCAGCCCAAATCAGGCCAACTTAGCTGCACTCCCTTAGAGTCATTAAAAAAAAAGAAAAAAACCTATAATTTGGGAGGTTCCCCCTTATACTAACTAACAGTCCTTCATAGGGATGATCGTATCCCCTATTCTGATCCCTATTCAGGACAGTTAGTATAAGGGGGAACATCCCAATCCATAACTTACAAGATGCACCTTTTGGGTTCAGGGTTTAGGGTTCTTGATACAACCCCAAAAACAGAACTCCGAAGCGTTTTGGGAATCTGTGCAACCAGCACTGAGCAGCACAAAGCCACAACATCCACACCATCCGCTCAAAAAACTGTAGGCCCGAAACCCTAAAAAACTAAACCCTAAACCCGAAACCCTAAACCCTAAACCCAAACCCCCGAAGCCCTAACCCCAAACCTCCAACTCAAAACCTGCGGCTTATTCTCCGAAGCGCCGGCGCAGGAAAATGCTCAGCATACACGCATGACGCCGCAGCTCACAAACCGGTTTAGGGTTTAGGGTTTGGGGTTTAGGGTTTAGTGTTTAGGGTTTAGGGTTTGGGGTTTAGGGTTTAGGGTTTTTGGTAATGAGGAGAGAAGGGTTTAGAGCGTACGGCTTTCGGGGCTTGGGGTTTAGGGCTCTTCAGGGCACCACTGGGCTAACAAGTAAGGTTTAGGAGAGGAGCGCGGGCTTCGTGCTGGCTCGGGTTGGTCACCTCGTAAACACATACTACCCTAAAAAGTCTAGCAGCTACTGGGTGTGGGTTTGGGGGAGTGGAAATTCCACTGGGTTTATTCGGGTTTAGGGTCCAGGTAGTGTATATTCGGCTTTTACAGGGACCATAGAGCTTGAACAAATATCCCAAACCAACCCCAGGTGTTACAATCCTCAAGCCTAGTCCAAAACACAGATTTTAGGGTTTGGGGTTTAGGGTTTAGGGTTAGGGGTTAGGGTTTAGGGTTTAGGCTTGTGTCCCCTGACTTCTTGCATGACTGCTCGTCGAAGTCCCCCTGAAACAGAAAACTTAAACGCCACAAACCCGGAACCCTACACCCTAAACCCTAACCCTACACCCTACACCCTACACCCTACACCCTACACCCTACACCCTACACCCTACACCCTAAACCCTAAACCCTAAACCCTAAACCCTAAACCCTAAACCCTAAACCCTAAACCCTAAACCCTAAACCCTAAACCCTAAACCCTAAACCCTAAACCCTAAACCCTAAACCCTCAAACCTAAACCCTAAACCCTAAACCCTAAACCCTAAACCCTAAACCCTAAACCCTAAACCCTAAACCCTAAACCCTAAACCCTAAACCCTAAACCCTAAACCCTAAACCCTAAACCCTAAACCCTAAACCCTAAACCCTAAACCAACAACAACGGGGAAAAAAGAGGGTGTCAACAATCACAGAATTGGAGCCTGTGAGCCGCGAGTCAGCAACCTCTCCCTCAAGCCAATCTTGTTTACTTGCAGGTTCATGGATACTTAGGGTTTAGGGTTTAGGGGTACTGACCCATGCTTTTAAAACCTCCAAGTAGTGCTGAGGGGTTGGGCCCTGTGCGGTTTAGGGTTTGGGGTTTAGGGTTGAGGGTCCTTTGTGGTTTTTCGGGTTTAGGGCTTAGGGCTGAGGGCCCTGAACCCTCAACCCTAAACCCTCAACCCTCAAACCCTAAACCCTAAAACCCAAAAACCCTAAAACCCTACAACCCTGAAATCCTAAAACCCTAAACCCCTAAAACCCTAAAACCCTAAAATTATACACCTAAAACCCTAGAACCTGTTTTTAGGGCCCTTGATGGCTCAGGGTCCTACGCCAATCTTGAAGGCTTTGGGGGCGTGGC